TTAAGAAAGGAAGAGTAAATTTTTTTTATCAAAGCTTGATGAATGATTAATAAGGATTTTTTAAAAAAAAAATTGATTCAAAAGAGTATTAGAAACCCGTAGAAGTTTCATCCAGCAGTTAAACTGGTTTTCCATAGCCACCTGTAGTTTGCGACTCCTAATAAGTATATTTTTTTAGTCTTCATCAATAATTCTAAAAATATGTGTTAAGGACAGTGAGTATGGAACATCTTGTACGTGGTGTCTAGTAGTAATTTTCCGTTCTTTATTTCTCATCCCATTTGTTTATTAAAAACAGTGTAGTTAGATCAGTTCACACGTAATGCATTTGTCACTAGATATTAGTTGAGCTTTGATAAACAAATAGTCACCATCATAATAAGTTCTGACAGTAAACATCGTAAAGGAAGTTTATCGGCATAAATATAATTTCTCAATCTTAGACATATACACCTTGATTGTTAGAAAATTTATTAACTATTTTTTAACTCATTTTTACAATTTGACCAGGCAGTTTAACACCTCAACAAATATTTACCGATATTCTGTTTTTCTACTCCAAAACCGTCACATGAGAGTTTCCAAATCGGGAAAAATTTATCATCATTTCTGATCGATCTTTAAATATTTGATTAGAAGGCTTTGATCAACTTTTATGGGTTTTCCTTTATTGCGGCCAACCATTTTTACGAGACAGCGAAGTAACATTCCAACTTATGTAAGTATTGGAACAGTTTCCCTGAAAGTAGAATAAATATTTCCTCTTTTTTTTTTGCCGTCTGGAATTTTATGCCACCAGCATAAAAAGAATTTTTATTTACTACTTACGTCTTGGCTCCTTTTTAGCAGCTTTCAGATTGACTTGATAGCCTTTGGTACTTAGGATTGGTGCCTTTGTGAATATGCATTTTCCTTCAAAATTTTCAAGATTCAAGTGATGTTTTCAATTGAAAAGTATAGTTCGTTTGGGAAAACGTAAACTACTTTATGTTTATCTTTTAGATTTTTATAAGTTGTCAAGATACTACAAGACTGAAACATTTTATTAAAGCAGATTCAACTTTATAACAGCCGAAGATTTTATTTTTTTAAAAACCGAAAAGTTGATATAGTTCGCCTGCGGGGAAAATTTAAAGAACTACAAAGATAAGAATTATTAGCAGTTAATTCAGTACTTTTTTGTCTTTCTTCAGTGTTAATTTTGCTATAATATAAATTACATATTGTGATATATTATTGTGATATATCAGCATTTTGAGTTTTGCCAACTGAAAATAAATTGAAGGTTCCGTTTCTTTTAATATGGGATGCATAGTGATATATATATTTTACTTTGATATATGTATATATTGTGATACATATGTACATATTGTGATATATGAACATACTGAGTTTTGCCAACTGAAAATAAATTGAAGGGGGGGGGATATTTTGTTGTTTTTTAATAAAATTGTCGTTTCAAATGTTCAAAAAATTTCATATGCATTGTACAAAACGCAAAATAAAAAAAGGTATCACTTTAAGTAACTTTTGTTCTAACTATCAGATTTTTACCAACGAAATGCGAATCTTAGTAGTTTAAAAGGGTGACCTCAATTATGTTAATTTAATAAATTGATGCTGACCTTTAACTATTACAAAGAAATAAACACAAAAACGAACATTCCCAGAATTAACATAACTTTTTTTTAATAGATTTTGATTTTTGACTTTCAAAATGGAGGATATCTGGAAATTATAATAGTTCCAGCAGGAAAGCTGTCGAAAGTTCCCCTTAACCTCTTCATTACCTCGGTTCACATACGTGGACCTTCGCTTCTTATCTTCTAAAAGCACGCCATTAGAAAATTTATAGTTTTACTATCACTGAAAAAATTCGTAAGCATTTAAGCTTTCTGGTGATTTCAATAGATGCAGAACATTCAAGTTATTTGGGTAGAATTCCACATAAGTAGAAGGGTTTTTCCAAAATTGACTATAAATCCATACGCTCGAAAATGTAAATATGTTTTAGATATTATATAATTTAGTTATTCTGAAAATAAATATTTTTCTTTTGAATAAATAGTTCTGTGATCTGTATGAAACTTTTAAATTTATATTTATTTAATAATGCAGTCAAGAATATGCAGGTCCATATGTGTATGACTGTGAAGTATTAAAGTGAAATCTCATAGTATTATAAGTATTTAATTTTATAGTTTATATTTAGATAATATTTTTATGTGTATTTTAATTTTTTAACATCAAGGTACATACATACATTTAATAACTTTGGAGTTTTTGTGTTTTTTCCCCATGATTTTGAAATTTTATCTCCAAGAATTAAATATTTTTTTATAATTAATATTAGATTCGTTTCAACAATTATTTATTTTGCGTGATTTGCATAATTAAAATCGTTTTGAAACTGAGATTTAATGCAATATTTCCTTTTACTTAAATTAAACATTGTAGTTTTTAAAATTTATTTTTTATTTTAATTAATTATAAAAATGTATTCATCAGTGTAACAATATGTATGTTTGTTCCTACTTTAGAATAGAAAAGAACAAAATATTTGAATTTACCATTTGAAGTATTTATATTATTTTTTTTAACCCTATTTAATAAAGTAATAAAAAATTGCAAAAAAAAACTATTAAAAATTATTTTTTACATGGGTAAACTAAATTTATAATTGTGTTCAAAGATTGTTCTATCTTCTATCTGTGAAAATTTTTGCTTAAAACATTCCCGCGATATGGTGAAATACGTAAAAAGTGCGGTTAACATTAAGGGACCCAAATTTTCGACCCCTCTGATTGAACTGTAGGGAACAGATTGTGGCTTTCCTTATGTTTTAATCTTGGCGAACAAAGGTATTCTTTGGTATTCTTTGGCCAAGGTTTTAATAGTCAAAAACTCAAATCCTTCGAAAAAAAAAGTATGTTTATTCAGAGAAACTAGTTTTTTGCTTGTTTGTCAGATTCCGTAAATTAATAAATATTTAACACTAATTAATAGTATATTTGATTTGAGGTTGCCCCTTTAAACCATTATGATTAGTGTTTAGTCATTGGAAATCCGATCATACAACAAAAGTTATTCAGAAAGATGTTTATTTATTTATTTTTTATTTATTTTTATTTTGCATATCATAGAAGAATGATTCTTACGTGTAATGAAGGGGTATAGTGAACTACTCCAAGAAACTTATATTCTAAAATAATTTAATTTTTATGAACTGTTGAGGCTTTAAAAGTTCGAAGGGCTGAAAGACGCATCTTAAAATAGAATACAGCAATCCAAAATTTCAAATAAAATGTTGACAATCATGACTTATAGATATGGAGAGCTGCTACACGAAAGAATAAAGCGTTTTTCTTGTTCAGAAATAACTTGAACATTGCTGTCTAATTTAATGTTTGGGGGATCAGAATTGGTCTCACAAAATTCAAATCATGCGATTTAACGTAATTAGATTTTTGTCTTTTATTTCTTCTCTTTAGCCCTGATTCTAAGGTAAGCCCACAAACCTACAATCTACCATGATTTAAAGGATAAAATTGAGTGTATCTTAAATATGCTGTTTCATACATAAACCCTCAGGGGCGGCATTATATCTAATGTTTTGTGGGTATCTCTTACTATTTATAATTATTTTAATTTTTTTTTAAATTATTGACAAATAAATTTATTTTGCAAGCATATTTCATAAAGAAACAAATAAATAAAATTACTTATGACATTCAGATTCTTTAAATACAATTCAATTTATAATGTAGGAACTGGTTTCTGCAAATTTTAGAAATCTGAAAACGAGTATAATTTTAAAAATTATTATGACAAAATAACGATGACCACCAATTAAATTCATGGAATAATTTAAAACGATACTCCCCATTTCCGTTTTTTATTTCATTTTTTATTTATTTATTTTTTTGTCATATTTAGAATTATTATTATATACGGAATTCAAAAAGTAAATTTGCTTTCATTTATTCAAACTCGTTTATCTAAGAATAATTTTTACAAAAAATGATTTATGAAATTTTGAAAAATTATTTATGAATTTGAAGGAAATAGAAATTTTTTCAGGTATATACAAACTTTCATCTTTTTTTGAAATGTAACGTAATTTAAAATGGCAGAACTAAACATGAGAACTAAAAATTCAAAAATACTATTTTTTTTAAAATGTTTTCTTCTTTTTCTGGAGCTATTATATATTTTTTTATAATCATTATTTATTTTTCACTTTCAATTCAACAAATATTTTTATTTATTTATATGGTGTCCAAAGAAACGTTATCTTAAATGACAAATTCCAATATTTGAAGTAAATCGGTTAAATTGAATCGAATCGAAATAAAAGAAAGAAATGCTTTTCGTACAACATATTTTATTCTCATATATTTATTTTTACTTACTATGGTTTATATTTGTTCGATATTTAGTTGACTGGAAGCTAGATACGAAAATTTTTACAATAATACTCCTTAATTTGTTAAGTGAAAATCTAAACTTGAAGCATTTTAAAAATTCTGAAAATGTATGTAAACTTATATAGAAAAATTTTTTTTTTTCGAAAATATATCAATTAATAAAAGGAAATTATTATTTATTCATATTATATATTAAAGCAATTAATGTGTCGTTCGCTCATATAAGAGAATTTATAACTTGCAAAGTCACTTTTCTCCAATGTGTTCGCCAAAAAATCTTTTTATTTATTGAGCACCGAAAAGATATTTCGAACTAAATTCGAAAAAAAACTATATATATAAATAAAATAAAATAATGAAATTCTTTATTTTTCATACCTTTTGCCTAGATGGCAGCACATTTCAGAATTAGAAATTTCACTACTAGGCAGTTCGAAATATAAACTGAATGTAGCTGAAAAACGGAGATTTAAAAGTAGATATTTTTCTTATGATTTCTTAGTATTTAACGAACGTAATCTGAAAAAACTTGAAACACGGAGAAAGAGTAATTAATAACTTGTTAGTATGTTGACATTTTTTAATTTTATTTTGTTTTGAGACTATATCTTGGTCACGCGAAACTCATAAGAAAGTGAATTATCTTCATAATATTTTAAAGGAAATCATTTGCTTGTGATATATATCAAATTGAGTATAAAAGTATTGTGTAATTACTTTTTCTCAACTTTACTCCTTCGAACTTTCAAGGTTATCTTGTGTTGCGCATTAATGCATGGTTATCTATATTGGCAAAAAGTGCTTTAGTTATCATTCCTCCATCATTTTTGATCATTTGTGTAACAACGAATTTTATTGACTCTGTGACTAAAGTAATATTATTGATGGAATTCCTCTTTAAACTAGTTCTATAACATTTTATTATAAATATACTTTTTATTATGAATTGATTTTGAATAAGTTTATAAAACTTATTTAAAATCAATTTTTTTTTACTCTGTTACCATTAGCTAATATATCTAAATTATAAAAAGTAGTAAGAAAAGTAAAGGTGGAAAATTTCGTTGCATAAAAGTGATAGTTAATATTTTTTATTTATTAATCTTGTTTATCTACCTTGTTTGAAGGCAACAAAAAATACTTTGACAAAAAATAATTTGATTTTAATAGGTGATTTCCACTCTTTTACAATTAGCTTATAAAATGCTTCTAAATACTAAAGTTAGTAGAGAAACTAAAGTGACTTACTTCATTATATAAAAGTGATTGATCTTGTTTTTTATTTATTAATCTGCATTTGAAATTACATTGTATTGAAGTTATGCTCTATGTTGTCTATCTTTGCTTTGAGCATGCAAATATTCATGTTTTTCCTTTTGATTAACAAATTAGCTTATAAAATGCTTCTGAATTAAGAAAATTAGTAGGAAGAGTAAAGGCGAAAAACTTCATTAGATAAAAGTGATAGTTCATATTTTTTATTTATTACTCTAGTTAGGAATTATGTTCAACGTTGTGTATCTTTGTTTTGTGTTATGTAAATATTTATGTACGTACATCTGATTAATTGTTATTTCTGTCTTTTTACAGATTAAATTACCATAACAGTATGTTTGCTGTCTTCTCTTATCCCAGTTTACAGACTTTAGGAAAGACATCCTTAAGTACAAACTGTATTTTGTCGCCTTATTCAGAAGTTACTAAACGCCTTTTGATTGATTCCTCTCTGTCATGTCAAGCACAGCATTATGCAAGAAGTAAGTAGTATTAATGTGTTTGCTACTGCTTGTACCTGTAGTGTTTTGAAAATTTGTCTCTATAAAACAATTTCTGATAAAAACACTTAGTTCTTTTATTGATAAAAATTATCATTAACTGATTGCTTTAAGAGAAAGAGGTAGCATATTAGTTAAAAAATTAAAGAATGGTTGCATAAATTCACCAAGAACATTTGACTTAAATACTTAAATTTGTTAATGGAAAAAGAACACAGTTTCAGGGCAATGTTATTTCAAACTAGAGAAAGGGAAGCGGAACGAGAGCAATTTTAAACTAGGAAAAAGTAGTTTAAGTGTTATGTAATTTCAAAATGGTTAGTTAGTGTAATGTTGTGGAAATCTTTAATTCATTCAAAAAGACATTTAAAAATGTCTTTTTTATTGTTTTGAAATAAAATTTCAGAAATTAATATCTGTGTGGTGTTAAAAAATATGATATATATTTCAAATATAAGTATATATGAAGAGCTTTGGGAGAAATAGGCTTTTTCCAGTGAAGAAATTGAGGAATCTCTTTTTAAAAAGTATCAAATATTAAAAAATGTTTTTTAACTATTTATAATTTCGATTTAGCTTAAAAAGTAGTTTAATTTCCGAGCTATTTTTTACATAATTTTTATATGAGTGAGAATTGAAAAGCAATAATTAGAAAGGAAAATAAGTTTTAATGAATTTTTTAAAGAAATTAAATCAACTGTTTCTTTCAATAATTTTTTGCAAAGAATTAGGGTAGAACTTAATTTTATAATGGTATAAAAAAACTGTTAAAACATCATATTCACAACTACAAATGGAATATTGCATTTGCAATTAGAATATTAATTTTTATAACCAAATGCTGTTAAGTATGAAGCATCTCTAAAATAACGTGCTAAAGATATTTCTAAATTTATTTTAATTAAAAGTCCCTAAGTGTATATATGAAATAACGGTGGATCCACACTGATATTTTTTAGTTAATTACGAGTCAAAACAGCATGATTAATGAATATATATATATAAAATAAAATTTTATTTTAATAATTTTTCTTCTTTTTTCATTAATCTTTATTATAATGTTTTCTCTATATTTTTAAATTGCTCTATGAGTTCTATATACTTGCAGCTTATGCACAGTAAATAAAACTTATTATTTTTCTTAATTTTCTTTGTTTTGCTCTCTTTTCTTTTTCTTCTCTTTTCTTTTTATATATATATATTTAAAAATAGCTTTTATCCTAATTATTAAAAATTATTACAATAAGTTATATAAATTTTAAAATTTTATGTAAAACAACTGCTAAAAATATCAAAATATTTTTTTTAAAATAAATGGTACAAAAAAAATTTTATAATCTTTTCTAACTTTATGTACCTTCTTATCATTTACATTTAAACTATTTTTATATTACTTATAGCTAAACAACTATTGACATTTTTAGTTTCTTCCATTTCAACCAGTTTTTTCAGTTTTATTTAATTTCTTCAATTTGTTCAATTTTCTTCTGGTTTTTTGCACTTTCTACTTGTTTTCTTTTGAAGTTTTTTCTGAAAGAAATTACGACCCTGTCTGAAAATATGGTATCCAATGAATATTATTTATCATCTGAAAATTTTTTTTCGTCTTTTCTTAGCTTCAATATTTTCAAATTAGTTCTTTATCGAATAATAAAAAGCTGGATTATTTATTATATAAAAAAAAAAAAACCTATGTTATTTTTAGTTGACTATTAAATGTTGATCTTTAAAGCTATTTATTAATTTAAACCTTTCTCTTTTTATTAATAAGAAAAAATACATAAAATGTTTGTTATTACAGAATAAAAATTAGAAATATTTTGGTCATATTTTAGTTGCCCTTAAAGCATCAATTTCATTAAATTGTCTATCTATTTAAAAAAAAACAATTAATCAAAATATAATGAGATTGTAATAATAAATACAATAATGAAATTATAAACCGTGTGAAAAGAACATATAAAACATGTAGTACTTATTCTTCAATTTATTCTATAATTTGCAACAAGTTATTTTTAATTAGTGTATTTTCATAAAATATTTATTTTTTTCTTTCTCTGCATTATGAACAGTTATATAATGATAATTACTTAAATTATGAGTCATTTTAACAGTTAAATAATGATAATAAATGTTTTGTCACCATAAATATTTTTCAATTTACTATATTTGTTTGGATTTTTGTATTTTAAAACTTTAAATAATAAATATGTGTTTGTATATAAATTTATTATCTCTGTAGTTAATATTTATAAATATACTTTTCTTGAAGTAAGAAATATTTTGGATCTTCATAATCAAGTACAGTATAATTTTGAATATTTACTTTTAATTTACTCTCTAAACATATGTTTACATTATTTGTTTACATCTCTGACTATATTTAGAGAGTGTTCTTGCAACTGTGTCTTTTATTTGTAAAGTTACTTATTTTGCATATCAATGACCTTTGAACTATCATCATATTAGTCCCAGTTGATTTTTTGCTGACTTCTGTCTGCATTTTAGTCTTTCTTTCATGTTTGTAACTCTTAGTGAGAGGCTGTCTAAAAATTGTTCTCTTTAAATTATCATGATTGCTACTAAAATTTCTATGTGTTGGATTATATCCACATCTTTTATATTATTTAACCCAGGTTTGTAATTGATTTACATTTAAACTTGTCATAAATGAAGTTTCATGCATTTGTTAATTATAGTTAGCAGAATTGGTAGTAAAATCTTTTTATAATATTGTCAATAAATGTTTTCTTTTTGATTTGATACTATCTGGGGGAAAAGTTTTTTTTCTTTCACTCTCTTAAATAAAGGGGAATAAAGTAAAGTTCCTTTTAAAATTTTTCACTTTTTTGTGATTAAAATTTTTATAAAAATTGTCTATCAAGTTTTTTTTTCTTTATCTACAATACAAAAAGTATTAATATTAAGTATTATGTGTAAAATAATAAAATGGGCAAATCAACATTACCTTATAAACTGTAATATAAAATAATATGTGTATAATCTCTCATATCAGCAACATTATTTGTAAAAAAACTAAGCAATGTCTATTGGAAATAATATAGAATCTTTGCATTGTGATTTATATTACTGAGTTAACATCTTTATACATAAATTTATTATTTTTATAGAAATGTGAACCATAATGTTTATTATATTTGTAAAATGTTAGTTACATTTAGAAACAAAATAAATAAATAAATCAAGAAAGAGACAATGATGAGTAGAGATTAAGTTTTATGATTGAGAGTGACACATTTACGTTTGTACTATAAGTGAAATATATTTCTTTTTTCCCCGTTTTCTTATTACAGATATGATCTTTAGTGCTTAAAAAGATCACCTCTTAATAGATGTTATCGAATCTTTGGTGATCTGAAATAGTTTTTATTGGATTAGCAAATTTAAATCTCAAAAGTTAAATTTTTATATATTTTTTTTTCTCCTTTAAAATTGTTAATTTAAAATGGTGTATGTATTTTATAAATTTTTTTTTGTTGTTAATGCTGAGATTTGTAAACATCTTTAAATTGTTTTTTAGAATCAAGCACAACAGAGCAGGCCTGGCAGAAAGTGAAAGTGAATCCTTTAGTACATTATATTAGGACTTTAAAATGGACACCCATTCCTCTTGGGTTAGGATTTGCTTTCATAGCTTATCAACAGTTCAGACATGTTAAGAAAAGAGAGACTGCAAAAATACTTTCTTCGCCCCATCCATCTGATTTATTAGCTTCAGATGTACATGTAAGATTTGATCTATGTTTTTTAGCTTTTATATTTAATTTAATTGAGAACCTTTAGTGAATTAGTGCAAGTTTTTAAGGCATGTATTGTTTTTCTGTAATAATATTGACAAGAATTAATTTGTTGTGACAAAAGGAAATCCTTTCTTTACTCATTCTAGGTAGACAGACTTAGAAGTTTTGATAGATTTAGTTAAATATTCAGATTTGTTTTAGAAGTTTTCATTGAATATTGTTGGTCTAATTTTTTTTTGATCAACTTATTTATAAAAGGTTTATGCGCATGCAATTTTTATTTAAATTTTACTTAATTTCATAACATAATAAAAATTAATAATTAAATTAATAATAAAGAGAGTGTACCCGAGAAAATATTTTCTGATTAATTAGTTTGATGTAAATGACAGATGCTTTATTTTAATAGTTTACTGTGTAGAAATAAATATTTAGTTTTATTTAATGAGTTTAATTTGCTTAGAACTTTGATGAATATGATTTTTTTTGTTTTGCTTACTAACAACATTGAGTTTATGAACTTGTGTTCATCTATAAATTGTATAATTAGCAGATTAATACTTTACTTCTCAATTTGAAGTAAACGTAGAGTTTTTAGTTATGAATATGTTGAGTTAAATGTATATTTGAATTACAATAAATTCTTAGCATTTTTTTTATTGTATTCTGCTGTGCAATGAAAAAACAACTTAAGTGCTTCATCATAGATTTTGAGAAAATTGGCTTAACAGCTATTTTCTCTATTGCTAATGTAGTAACATTAAATTCAAATTTCACATAACTAATAAAACAAAATTTATTTTTGGAAAAAAAGAAGTTTTTTTTACAATAAGTAGTTTATTTTATACAAAAGTGCCAAATATTTAAGAATCTCAAATTTTAACTTTTGCCGTTTATGTTGATTTTTGCATTGCTGCACAGCAGGATTGTTCTCTTTATCAACTTTTCTTACATCTATAATCTTTCTCTACATCTTCAATTTTCCTTAATCTTTCTTTTCATTCAAAGTATATGTAAAGCAATACAGATTTCTTTCATTCTGATTTTATATGATTATAAATGTGTAAAATGTTCAATTTTTTCTTTTAAGGTTTCTATGTATACAATGTTACCTCTTCGAGCTGCTTCACGTTTTTGGGGCTGGTTGCACAATTTTGATTTACCAAAACCAATTCGCAGACCACTTCTCAATGTATTTGTTTCTACATACAATTGTAATTTAAAAGAAGCTGTTATTGAAGATATTGATGCTTATAAAAGCCTTGGGGATTTTTTTAGTCGTCAATTGAAGAAAGAATATAGACCAATATATCCTGGAAAATGTCTAGTGAGTTATTTTTTTCAGTTACACATTGCTAATGAAATTAATTTTCTATAAAAAATGCTATTCTACACCATATTTTTACTTTGATTTCATTGACATTTTGCTTTCTTTTCCTCTTTGTCTTTGTAATTTTAATTGTTTTTAATGCTTTGGGCAAGAAAGAATTTTTAAAAAATTTAATTACCAATTACACAAAGTTTTTCACATATTATAGCAAACGTAATATAATGTTTTTGTGTAGTTTTTTCCCCTTCAATATCGAGAGTAAAAAAAAGGTGAATTCTTGAATTTCAAAAAGTAAAACTTATAGGGTATAAAATGTCTGTTATATATATATATACACATTTAAATTCCACTTTTATCCTCCTTAATGCTCTTCATCTTAATTTACACTTTTAATGTTTAAAACTTTACATTGTTACAAAAGTTTGCATAGTATAATTTACCTGTTTTATTACCAAATAGTAACAGTTATTCTTACATTCTCCCAACGAATTTATTGACAGTAGTACCAATAGAAGTATGATAAAATTAATTTAATTAATATTATGAAATCAATTTATGTTACCAACAACTTGTCTGGGCAGTGTAGGTGGACAGGGTGCAATTGTGACCACATAGCCTTAGTATCCATGACCATGGCCCTTCTTCTTCTTGCTTGAGCTTGTCAGTGGCACCTCTGCACATGTTGCATTTTGTACCATGCTCCAAGCCCAATTTTTCCTAGTTCCATTGTCTTGGGTCGCCTACTTTATTTATATAGTCTGACAGTCCCTTAATGGAATTAAGGTGAAGCTCTTTATGATATGGATTGCCTAAGGTAGTGAGGCGCGTAAGGGTGAGGGCATCACATTCGTATAGGATGTGATGTGCTGATTCTACCGCTTCACGGCATTTCTGACATGACCATGGCCCTACAACTGGTTGTTGCAAAAATGATTTATCTTTTAAACTTTCGTTTCAGATTTTGGGAACTATCTTATAATATTGCTTATTTTTGCAGCTAAATTATATTTGAATCAAATGCTTCACTAATTCCTATCTAGTACATAATATCAAACATTAATTTTTGCTACTTTTATTTATTTGATTGTATCCTGTTCATTTTACTATAATTAGGAAATTTTTTTTAAGGAATTTTATTTTGTCAATTTATTTAAAAATCAAAGTGCTCAAGCTATCAGGTTTAGTGAATATTGTCTTTATTTCTGCTTTAATAAGTAAAATACTTAATTATAATTACACATCTTTTAGACCAAAATTACTAAAGAACAGAACTTTTTTATTTCGTCAGGTCAGTCCTTCGGATGGTGAAATTTTGCATTTTGGCAAAATTGAAAATGGATTAATTGAACAAGTGAAGGGTATAACTTACTCTTTGAAATCTTTCCTTGGAATGAAATCCATGGATGCAGAAGATATGGTAAATATTAAGTTAAGCTTTTTCAATGAGAAAACAATTTTGATTATTATAATAGGATTAATTTGATTGTGTGTAAGCTTGCATATTTATAGTTTGGTATGCATAATGTTACTCACGCAGTAGTCTTTTTTGAATTTAAATAAAGAGTTGACTGAACTAAGATTTAATTTTATTTAATTTATAAAATTATTTATTTAAGTATAATTTGAATTTTTTTTTTAAATTCTTGCCTGAAAGTTTACTTTAAGATCTATGAGTGATCTCATTTTTTAAATGATACATAAAAATACTTGTTCTCTTGCTTATATTTTTTCTAAAAATGATTTATTTACCATATATTTTTGATACTGAATATCTTATTGCTTTTCATTATTTTTGATTGGATCAATTTTTGTTTTCAATAAATTATCTTTTAATAGTTTTTTTTAAAAATTATTTCTCTTTACAGTTAAAAAAATTATTAGAAATATGTTATTAATTTGAACAAAATCTATTAAATTTTGGATGATATATGAAGAATTATTTAGGAATTTAAAAACAAATATTAATAAAAACCACTACTGAACTGTACTCTTGTCCCTGTAATTTTTGTGTTACTGGATATGAAATGTTAGGACCCGAAATGTTAAAACTCTTTCCGACTAATTTATTTTTAAATCTTTTACAGGTCACTGATGAAAAATATCATAAAAGTCTGCTTCACAACAAAGACAATGTTTTGTATCACTGTGTTGTGTACCTTGCTCCTGGTGATTATCACAAATTTCATTCACCCTCAGAGTGGACCGTTCACCATAGGAAGCACTTTCATGGTAATTATTTCTGATTAATCTTTATTGTCTTTAAAAACCTGTTCATTGTTTCAATCTATTGAAATGTAAAATTATGCTTTTTGTAATTACAGGACTTTACAGGAAGTTGGAATTCGAACATAATTCTAAACATTCGAACATTATTCTTAACGTTTAAACATTATGCTTAATTTATTCTAACAGACCTTTATTTTTTATGAAACATTTTTTTCTCTGTGTAACTTCGTTCAATATGACTTCGGGGGAATTGTTCTCATAATGAATATAATTTTTAGTGCAAGTACTGCTAAATTCATGTTTTTTTAAAAAAAAGTTTAGTTGAAGTTTAATAACGGACAATGATTTTTATGGATTTTTAAATTTGGATACAATTTTTAGCCCAAAATTTTACAGTAGCAAAATTATTTTTGAATACATGGGGAAAATACGTGTAAAAATTTACCTTATTTTTCGTCGATTTTAAAATATTTTTAAATTTCACAAATTAAGTCTAAATTTTAATAAAATAGGTACCTCTCATAAAAACCTAGACATACCCCAGATTCAATTTACGCAGTTTTGTATGAAAATTTAGTAGCTATTCAGGTTTATTTAGGTAGTTTCAACAATTATGTGAGGCATGTGACCTTTTTTTAGTTAGTTTTCAGATAATTATTAAAAAAAGAACAGTATTCCATATTAAAGTATAAGAAATAGGTATTACAGTATTTTTTCAAAGATTTAGAATTTCTTCTAAAGTTAAGTTAGATTGATAGGAATATATTTACAGTTCTCAATGCAAAACTTGAAACTTTTTTTATGGACTTAACTACACATCATCTCATATGATCAAATCTTAAAACATTTTTTACTATTGTTATGTTTTTTCCTTCTTTTTTCATAACAAAAGTTTAATATATTTGTTCTATAATAGGTGAATTATTAAGTGTTCATCCTGGAATTGTAAGCTGGATTGCTGGACTTTTCAATATCAATGAGAGAGTTGTATATACTGGGGAATGGCAACATGGCTTCTTTTCACTTACTGCTGTTGGTGCTACAAATGTTGGTTCTATTAAAGTCTATTTTGATGAGGTACAGGATAGAAAATGATTTTTATTAATAATATGTTATGCTAAAGTACATGCTGCATGCTAAAAACATTATTTATTTATGTCAGAGAAAGTCTTTTGATTTAATTGTGTTTAATAAATGCACTTTTAATATTAAGGAATGATTTCTTCTAACAATAAAAATATTTTTAAAAAAATTAATGGGGCAAATTTGCAAATATTGTTTGGATCAATAATAATGAAATAAAAAAATTATGTTCTTTAAGTAATAAATGTATTTTTTAAAAAAAAATTCAGTGTACTAGCTTGTAAATGTTCAGTTTTTGGATTAATGAAGAGGTAATATAAAATGAATGCTAATACTAAAAAACTATTCATTTTAAAGTTGATGGCTATGCTTGAGTTCTTTGGATCTAACAAAAGTATCAATAACATTGATTAGTATGAAAATTTATTTTACTAGCTTACAATTGTTTATTTTGATTAAATTTGTTAATTGATTGTTCTAAAATAGCCATCTATTCTAATGGATAAATTAATTTATTTATCATATTCTTTTTTGAAAATTACAAATACTTAATTGTGCAATCCATAATTTTTTATTAATGATTTTTTATCACCATCCTAAAACAAACTTGTGCTTTTATTCAGATACAAGCAATCGTTTCCACATGATAGTCGTTGAAAGGACTAGACATAAAATTTATGTGTCCACTGGGGCAGGTAGCTTTCCACTGTTAAAAGAAGAAAATTTAAAAGATGTCAGCAGTTTTTGGTTGGCAAAATGAAACAATAAATAAAATAGATAATAATTTCTGGTACTAGAATAATATAAATAAAAAAGATTAATACTGATGCACAAGACAGAACATGCGAGTTCGAATTCAAAAAAAGGAATTTAGAATTTGAATATCCTGGATTCTGGTGACTCAGGGGATAAAGCGTTCGCCTTTGAGGTGAATCGGGTTCTAATCCCAGTAAGGCTGATCGATATGAATTCTGCAACTGGCTTGCCACAGTATTGAAGTAAAATATCCTCAGTGGTAGATGGATCATGGGTAGGAGTCCTCTTGCCGTCAGGCTAACCATCGGAGATTTTCGTGGTTTTCCTCTCCATGTAATGCAAATGCGGGTTAGTTCCATCAAAAAGTCTTCCTTGAAGGCAAATTTATTCCAATACTTGATCCAGGAGTTCCCTTGTCTTCTGGATTAGGTTCAAAATTACAAGGCAACGCCGTTGAACATTAGTAGTCATAAACCCAAAAGTTGGGTTGACTGTTCTAACCACGGTTATTAAATATAAAATAAAACATCCTGGGTCCTAAAGATTCTTAGTTTCCAAGTCTAGCATAATCACTTGAATACAATTATAAAAGTTTCTTAAAACTGTTATGGTACTTTATTTTGTGAAAATATTATTAACTTTTTGAATTAGTAAAAATAATGACACAATTATTTTTCAGACTCTTCAAACAAATCAGAAGAAGTGTGTGAAAGGTACATTTGAAGAAAAGCATTTTAATCCTCCAGTAAACATGACTGAAAAAGGTCAACCCTTTGGTGAATTTAATTTAGGTTCTACTATTGTTTTAATTTTTGAAGCACCCAAAGACATTACATTTAACATTGCAGCTAGACAAAAAGTAAAATATGGTGAACTCATTAGTCTATGTAATAATTTTCAATCATCTTAAAACAATTACTTCATACTATTTAAATGAATCATATCATCAGTTTTGAGAGTGTTAGCTACATCTTTTTGAAATGAAAAACTCATTAAAAATGTATATGAATTTCTTGAGTTTACTTGCTTTCAAGGTTGGCAAAAAATCATGATTTTCCCTTTTTAAAAAAATATTTTTTTCTTCCTATCAAATTGCTGATAAAAAATATTAGTAATGCTTAATACTATTCTAAAATAATATTATAATTAAAATATTTTATGTTTCCTACTAAAATGCTTACAATTAATTACTCACTAGAAACTAACCACTGCGTAAAATCATAATAATTTTCATTTAAGTTTAACACCCATATGAATTGCAATTGAATTTCATTATTAATTTACACTAACTACATATTTAAAAACACTTGTATTTAAATAAATTTGAAGCAAAATGGACTTGATTAAAACATGTTTTTTTAAGGTTAATTATTTTAAAAATAGATAGTGAGAATTTATAATTTAAAAATTTCATGCTACTTAAATCTAAAAAAATCCCCTTAAATCTAATTAAATTCAGCTTTTTTATTTATTATTCAATGTTGATTATCAAATAATATTTTAAAATAAATTATAATAAAAATTACAACTTTAAAGATACGGTAGAGCAGCGATTATCCAAACCCTTATTATCTGAATGTCCAACTATCCAAACTATGTCAGAATTCGTTTTTTAAAATTTTTTTTTTTTTTAAAGTTAAGATACTTTCAACTTATCGAAACATTTTCTAAATTTAGAAGAAAAAGTAATAACCATTACATCTGAATACCATATTTAATTTACAACCTTTTTTAGCAGCTTTTTTATAGTAGCCATGTTATATTATACATGTATACATACATACATGTATTGTTATACAGTTAAACCTACATACCCCTGTAGCTCTCTTCAACTGAAAATTATCTTCCAAGAATGCGAGCTTCATTTTGATAGTCTACAATGGTTGGAATGCGGAAGAAAATAAAGAAAAATGTGATAAAATCAGTAAATTACAAAAAAATTTTAAAAAGCCTAAAGATGATTTAAAAAAAATTCAAAATGAAAAAAATAAATAAATAAATGAAAAATACTTAAAAATTGAAAGAAAAAAAAACTTTTAAACATGCCAGAGCTATTTTAGACAGTACTACCAGTCCTAAATCTGGAAAAAGTGTGAAGGGAAGTTATAATAATCATTTAAACTAGATTTTAAACAACTTTCCAATTATCCAAACCACTTTCGGTCCTGAGCAGTTCAGATAATCAACGCTCTATTCATAAACTATATTGTGTAAAAAATTAAGTGATTTAAATCGCAATTTAACTCATGATTTGTATCAAATGCCGACCTTGCATGCTTTTGGTGTAAAATTATGTAAATTATTTTTGGAGCATCTTATTAGGTAAAATTGGGAGCACTTGGATGCTGTGAATCACTTTTGGGTCAGTAAAATTCACTTTTTTTATATTTATTGTCGTCAAATGACTGAAATTTTCATTCTCTACATATTTTTGTAAACTCATATTGTATGTGCCATCGCCTTAGCTCATCTGTGATATGTACAAGTGTTGTGTCTTTATGCTTGCCTAGTCGTTGAAAATGAATTTGAAAAAAAATAATAATTTTGTGTTGTATTTCAGTTTTGTCACACAAAATATTTGTGAAGTTTGTTGAAATATTGTTAAATTTAGAAATTTGTTTTGTGTTGTATTGAAGAAGGTGTCACATCTCAGTGAAAATACTTTTAATTTGTTAATAATTAATTAATTTGAAATTAATTAATTATTAACAAATATTAATTAATTTGATTTAAATTAATTAATAAATTTTTTAATAATAATTAATTAATTTAGCAAAATTAATTAATTAATTCCGAAATTAATTAATTAATTTTGGAATAAGCATGCTTTTTATGCAGCAAAAATCAAAATGCAATGTTGCACCACGTTTTTAATGTTAAAAGTTTGACAATTATATGCCTCAGTTAATAATATTCTAAAACTTTGATTACCTGTATCTGTATAGTTAATTGGCCTGAATGTTAAAAATGCTGGAAATAATGATTTCAAATGTAATTTAATTTTTTAAAATAATTATTTTTTTTAAATTCATTATTGTATATATTCTGGTTAAAGTTTATTAAAGAAAATCATTTAGGATAGTTTTTTTTATGATCAAAAATGAATTTAGAAACTGAATTTTTATTCCTTTTGCTTTGTTATCTTGGTAACAAAGCAAAAGGAATAAATGCAAAATTTTAATAAAATATTGTTTTAGTATGTTTGGATAAGGATTTCAAATTTTAATAACATATAACATTTATTCTATTAAGTATATTTTACATAACTAATTGGGTAAATAATTTTTTATTTATTTTTTAAGAAAAGTATTTTTTTAGAATAATAAAATTTCTGGCTTAAATTTATTTTTAAAATTTTAGTTCAGTTACTTCTTTTTGTTGCTCGTCATTATTTCATTTAATAATGAAAAGTATTTACTTTTGATGCTTAAACAAATACTAATTGTGCATGTATATTCCTGTTTCAAAGGCCAGAATAATTTTTGTATGCATTTCTTACTGTATATATGCATGAAAGGTTTAACTAAGGAAACAAAAGAAGATGCTCTTCTTAAACCTTTTTTAATTTTCTGATCTTCTTGTTGCTACAAACTGTTTTAAATCCTGATACTTTCATTAAATTTTAATAAGTGGCTTTTTAAAAGATACTATTTTTTTAAACAAATTAATTTCAGCTTCTATTTTAATTCATTGAGAAAATGTTTAGCGTATTCTTTGAGTTGTTATATGTTATTTTTGTTTGTTAATTAATATATATGCTATTATCATATAATATTAATATATGATAATAGCATATATATTAATTTTAAGTGTTTATGATTTTTTAAAATTCTTTTTTACTAGTTTCTCTTGACAGGTGAAATTAGAAATTTTTACTCTTTGAATTAAAGTAAAAAGAACTAAATTTGAATTCCTGCTTCTTTTTTTTTAATGATTATTTTTGTTGCCATAATAAAACCATTAACAATAATCTATTAATTACAGTGACACTTGAAAATGAACTCAATTGTAATACGAATTATAAGTTATGTGTAACTAATCATAATCGAGTGAGTATTTAGTTCATCCGTAATTTTGAGATTATTATGATAATTTTTATGAAAATATTAAAAAAAAAAAAAAGGTTTTTGTTAATAACAAAATTTTTAAACAGTTCTTATCTTTTCAATCTAACAATTATTTTCTTAAAATTATTTTTTTCAATTAAATATATTTACACAGAGAAAATACTATGATCTATGTAAAGTGTATCTGCTGTAAATACTTTTCATTTGAATATTTTGTTATTTATTTCATTGTTGATTAAATGAATATTTAATATGCAAGAATCAAAAGAAACAAAAAAAGAGTATTTTTTTTTGTTTTTGTTTAAGCTTTATTATTTGAAATTTTAGTATAGTTTTTATTAATGATCATTAAATCAATTTGCTTGTGAACGATTTTTAAAAAAAATTTAATTTTAAAGTTTAATTTTTATCAAATATCAAAGTTGTTGTTTTCTTGTAGTGAAAATTGCCTTTACCAATAAGTAAAAGTGGTTCAGAAACTAACAAATTGGTGTACTATTTTACACAGATGTTTAACATTGTAATATTGAATATTTACACTCATGGCTTTGAGCATTTTGTGCTTTATAATTTCAGCAAAAGCCTGGGCTTGCACCAAAACTTGTTTGTTTATCGTTTAATACGAAGAAAAAAGGTCTTACCTTTTTGAATTTTAATTATGCCCCCCAGCATTCATCATGTTATGCAAACTCTTAGGTTAAGATTTTTACCACTTGCCTCTTAATTAAAAAACGGACTAATCAGAAATATAACTTAAGAAAAATTAAACTTTACTCAAATATATAACTTCCAAAATATAACTTCAGCTTCTCATATTAGACAGTTTTTAATGCATTAAGAGATGTTTCATTTATATTAAGTTGTGTTAATTATTACCATGTGTATATTTTCCATACAATTTTGTGTAATAAAAATAAGTGCTTTTAAACACATTCTTGAAAATTATGTCTCGGTTTAGTGAGCAGCTGTAGCATTAGCTTTGCTTATACAACTGAATGAAGTAAATGTTATTATTTTTATTTCAGTTCTCGATTTACCGGTTTTGTTTTCTAGTATTTGCTCAAATATGTTTTTTTTTTCTTTTCTTGTTATAAATTATATAGTAAGCATTAAACAGTATCATTAGATTTTCCTTTTTTTCAGTATTTTTACTGAATTTAGTTTTTTTTTTTGTTGAGGAAAGTTTCTTTTTGTGTTTAAAAAACCCTTTTAATTCATTAATTCACTTTAAGTTTATTAATTGCACATGTGTTGACGAACATGCTATTTTAGAGCAGTATGATCCATGTTTAATGAGAAGCTCTGGAAGCTTTCCGAATCTGCTTGCTTGCTGAATCTGAATTCTAGGTTGATGCAAAAAATTTTCTTCCAGATATTTTTAACTGGGAATTGAAAATATGTATTTTTGTAAGAAATAACACGATTGAATGTTGATGTTTAGCTTTATAAAATTTTGTTTAATTTTTGTTGTAAAGTACTTTAAGTATTAATTAAAGATGTTTAATAATTTTAAGTATTGATAAGTGATTTTTTTTTTCAAAAAAGTTTTTCTTTCTTTTTGTTGATATTTTATGCTTTAAGTGTTTTTTAAAGCTCTTCAGTGAAAGTAAAAAAAAAAAAGCCGCGAGTGTCTTAAACTTGAGGCAGAGCTTTAATTGAAACTATAAGTACTACTGAGCCATAAATTATAATCTGGGCTTTAGAATAGGCAAATAACTTAAATATTTTAAAAATCATTGAACTTTTTTAAAAATTGCTAATTTAGGGATTTTTTTCATCTAGATAAAAATTATCAAAATGAATAATTCTCACCTTTTTGCAAATTAGATCTTCAAAAATTTTGTTTACACGAAACGGTGGCGTTTCTTCATTGTGGTGTTTTGTGCCATTTTCAGAATTAGTAT